TATTCTTATTTATATTGATATAGAAAGGAGGAAATAAATCTAAGAAGTACTTGAATGAAACATTCATTAAACACATCACATTTTGAATGAGCACTTACTGCTCAGGCAGTGTATAATCTGATTTCATTATCAGTTACATAAATTCTATAACATATTGTAATCTCAGTGACTAACAAGTTCAAACTTCTGATTTATGGAAGACTCATTTCTTATTTGAAATGATTAGGACTAATCTCAGAATTGATTTTTCTATGGGAGCATTCAGATCACAATAGAAACATTACTTACATTAGGAAAAAAACCACAATTTTTCATATTAAAAGAAACAGATTGTAAGAAATGTCACAGAGTGCATTGCCTCTAAATTTCACACTTCTCTGAGCAACATCCGAGAACCTGAAGGTCTGCAGCTAAATGGCAACTTTTTTGATTTTATTTCTGTAGTGTTCCTTACCCATAAAAGAAGAACAGAACAACCTTTTGCAAACAATGGAAGTTATTTAAACAGAGTACCGTCTTCAGTACAGTAACTGTTAACTGTTTCATTACATTCTGTTCCGTTGATAGGGAGCTATATAACCTGCAGCTGCAGTATCTGAAGGAAATCTACCACGCTCAGCTAACGGGCTGATCCCATATCTGTGTCAGATAAAAATCATAGTGCTTATTATTTGTTACCATGGATACCATGAAGATATTGCTGTCCACTGAAGATTACTAGAGGAAGACAACATAATTCTCAGGAACGAGTCCTGTTTTGCCTTCGTAAGTTGCTTTTAACCAGCCTGGTTCTACTGATGGATACACTGTAAAAAAACAACCAAACAAAACATATTTACAATAAATTAAGACAGTTAAAAGACCCTACATGTTTCGTATATTTATTTAAACAGCTTTTATTCAACAGCAATATAATAATCAAGGCCAAAGCCGAGAGCTGGAAATGGAATTACATTCTCTTATCTTGTGGGTACCATTCATTTTTGTTTTTATTTATTATTATTTGTTGACTGGTTTGTTTTTCATGTAAACAAAGAATGTAAAACATCTTACCATTGGAAAATATTGCCCCCTGTGGGAAAGACAGCTCATGACTATGCTCAGCCTTACAGGAATACATGGCTTTTGCTTGCCTGAAAGAAAAAGAAATATATATAGGTTTGAAAAAATAAGGAAAAATGTATGAAAAAATGGAGTGAAAACCTAGGAAGTGTAGGAATAATAAGCTGCACAAATACATAATGATAACAACTAGTTACACAGTAGTTCAGAGGAGCAGAATTATAGCAGACAATAACTCCTGGCTTACTGCAGTTATCAAGTATGTTATTGCAGAAAATAGATCAACATTCTACTTGAAATTTAAACAGGAATACAATAACATTAAAAAAAAACAACAAACACTTTTGTTCTAGTTGAAACTGTACTTCAAACATATATAAACTGAGCAAATTCCTTGAAGCAAGATATGGACTGCCTGGAGAGAATTTCAAAGAGATCATCAAGTTATTAAAGGTCTAATGACATGGTTTGTGAGAAAATACAGTTGATTAGTCTACAGGAGAAAATAACAAATATAAGGCAAATATTGGACTAAAAAGAGTAATGTGTCCTCCAGGCTGACTGTGAAAGAGATATAAATTGATTTAAATTGCAGCATGGGAGATCTAGATTAGGTACTTGGAGTGGATTACAGCTTCGGCCACCTCAGATGTCCATAAATAAACTTTGTGCCTAGCTCAGCCGGCTCTTAGGCCTGGGTTCTGCTATGGTAAATGGCTACTTGAGAGTGCAAGGGATGGCTCTCCAGGTGCCACTGCCCTTAGCGAAACCTTCAATTAAATATTTTCTCAAATAGAACCTAGCATGAAGAGACCTAAATGTAGACAGCTACGTTTATCTCTTCATTTATAGCTGTAAAACCTACTCTTGGTCAGAATAACAAACCACTGGAACTGCTAAGATGCTAAGAATTGGAGGATCTCTGAATTGAAGAATTCTAATTACTAAAGATTCATTAAGAAAAAGAAAGAAAAAAGAAAAAAAAAAAAAAAAACACAACAAAACAGCACTATTCAGACATCTGTAAAAGAACTATTTAGATACATCATGATTTGATTACAGAGCAGGACAGATTATCAGTCACCTGGTGATATGGCTTCTAGCACCACGCTTCTACAAAGCACAAAATGAGGGACTGAACATAAAGATGTGTTGCTTAAGAGTTCTCACTAGATTCCTGTGCTTTACCTATAACAGTAATACCTTGACTTTAATTTATATACTGGAAGCAATTTTTGTATGACCCACCAGTTTTTCTGAGTTTCTTTAACCTTATCGGAAAACCACATTATGCCAGCAAAGACGAACCTGTAGATCATTTCACCTTTGTATGATGGAATAGGGGGCTACCAGGTCAGCTTTCCTTCCAGCCAGCATTTATCTCAATGACCTAGTATGTGACCTTTGGTGAATTTTAAGTTTTTGGCGTACTTTTTGAGAAAGTGTATATGCAAGTGACCTGTAATCTATTCTGTTTTCCTCCCACAACAGTGAGATAACGATCATATATCATATGAATGATAGTGCCTTATCATAAGCCTTAGTGTAAGGAAAAGACTGTTTTATTTGTGTACTGCCACTGGACCATGGCTCTTCACTTTGGAAGTTCCACACTAACCAGGGGAGACAGACTGGGACATTTCTTAAAGGGCGCAGAGAGCATCCCTCTACCCTGGCCTTACACCCTGGAGCCAATCAAGACTATCATGTCATGATTAATCGAATCTCTAAAAAGGTATGAAAGGGGATGCACGTGTGACATTCAAGAAATGATCTTGTAAATCCTCTCCATGATTTACAAATACTTCCTCTGTTTTGTATCATAAAAACACTACTGTGGTGTGCTGCTACCACATGATTTACATACCACATGATTTAACATACTGTGTAATGAGAAAGGGCATGCAAAATATCAATTATGTCTTGGGACTACAAGGCCATCATATGGGGTTATGTTTTTGGATACTATTGGTTTACTTTGGTGGGGGAGAGAAAGAGAACCAGTTCTAAGCAATGTGTATATACATAAAGCCAGTAATTCCACTTGACCTCAATATCACAAACTACTTCTTGTGTCTTTTTAATTTAGATACAACAAAAATTATCACAAAAAATATTTACTGCCACCACACAACATCCACTTTATATCCACTCTCATTTCTAGAGAAGAAATGAAACCATCAGTTCCTGCATAGGCAAAAAAATTAATTGTGCTCTCCTTTAAACACCAGCATTAATATTCCAACAGGAAGTACAGTTACTGGTTCTGACTGGGACCCTGATCTTACATAGACTCAAGGACTATATATTCACCATGAAATACAGTCACTGCTATGAAGAACTTGCCTTCTACAGTAAACAGGACAGACAGACAAAAAAATCAGTAAGTTTTGTTACTCTACATAATATATATTTATAATATATAATATAAATAATTATACAATATATTATATAAATAATATAAATAATAAAATAAATAAAATATAAATTATTTTAATCCAAGATCATTATTTTATTAAAGTAATTATGAGTAATTAGAGTGCTAAAAATGTTCTATAATATACTGACCCAGACTGTTAACATTCAGAAAAACACACAAACAAAACAAAACAAAACAACAAAACACATTTAATTCCTATGTGGCATAATAAGGATTTTTTTTAATGTATAAAACAGCAGAATAACTGTTAATAATGAATACAATGACAATGTTAATCAGATAATCGGTCATGAATTTACTATAACACAGGAACAATTTTGCACTCGATCATATGTGGCACCTCACCACTTAGTGGCATGAGTATTGAGCCAGTTTCCCATGTTAAAAATGGAACATCTGAGTAATACTGTGATATAAGACATTGAAGGCAACTGTAAAACAGAATAGCAATATGTATATGAGGGAGAATTGTCCAAGCTATTTTCAAAATACGGCATGTTTTTTTTAGTGCCCTTAGAAAGTTAGTAAAATGAAATTATCTCCTGTATGCTTGTATGTCTAGTAAACTACTCTGTTTTCAGCTTCTAATTTTTCCTGATCCAAATATGTTTATCTTAAAAGTAAAAAGAAGAAAAGAAAACATGAACTCTGATTTGCTCAGTTCTGGGAAAGAGAAAACTACCCAGCATTTGGCAATACACAGATAGACAAACACAAGGTATAAAAAAATCACCCTCTGAAAAGCTCTGAATTACTGGATTCTTCACATTATCTTCCCACTACCTTGCTCCTAACACAAAGCCTAAGAATATTTACTTATACTTCTGGAGCAATTTTCAAGCCCCTGGTTATTCCTTCCACACCCAACTTGAGAACTTAGGTTCTTTGTCTTGCTGCTCACTTCAACCCTATCCATCTAAAAGCAATACTAAGGAAAAGGGCTCACAGACTCCTGGGAAACTTTTTCTGTGCAATTATGAAAATGGATATTGTTTCTTATGGTGTTAGTGTTCTCCTCCCTGCAATCAAGTCTGCTCATTAAAAAGCATGTGATGACATCACCGTCATCTATTGTGGTTCTCTTAAGATGATGCTAACCTTCTGAGAAGAGTGTAATTCATAGTGTTGACTTCAGAGAAAAAAAAATCAGAAAATGGTGCCCACATTTCCTAGAAGTTTCTGCTTTCCATGATTTTTAATGGATAGAATCCAATGGAGAAAAATCAATTTTCCCTTTTACTACCTTTTATAATGTTTATTTTGAGACCGTAATGACAAATTTATACTAGTAGTCAAAGGATTGGTACTCATCAGATCAGAAATTATTTTACTTGACTATACATGGTCAACAACAACTGAGGTACTTTTAATAACCTATTTTAACAGTTATAAATAAGCTTTAAAATTATGCTCCTGCCATAGTAAGTTTTCAGTCTAGAAAGACACAGACAGAAGCCAGATGAACGAATCAGGGAAAACACATGAATTTTTTTCAGATGACTCATCAGTTAATACTATCTTGCAGGAAGAAGAAAAGTTTGTCGACTCGTAGAAATGGTAGACTTATGAGTAAGTAGAAAATGCTGGGCTGGGCTGGAAACAGTATTCCAGTTTTTTAAGGAAATGCAAAATATAGCATGAAAATAAAAACAGAAGTATGACTGGAAATATTTAGTATTTAATCATATGGTTGGGAGGGAAGTATGGAACTAGAGGATTTCATGTTGCCTTTCTATTCCTATTACAGTCCCAGCCTGGTACCCACAGATCCTGCTGCCAAGCCAGGGCTACTGGCTGTCACCAGCTCCTGTTCCCTACTTTTGTATGTATTCTCTTTAATGAAAATCCTTTATGATGCAGTTTCTCATTTTATGTGCACCTCTAAATCAAAGTCAGTGTTGGTGCATTTTTGTATAGAAGCTGTAATACAGAAATCTCAGGCTAGGTAATGGCAATATTTCTGAATCCAGTAAGAAAATTTCTTCACCTCTTTCAGTCCCCAACAAAGATTGGTCCCAGAGTGCACAGTACCTTAATACCACAGTATGGGAGATGGACAATTAATAAACTTGATGTCAGGAGTTAATGAATGGGATGAATGAGAAGTGAAAGTAACTCTGAAAACAGGAAAAAGAGAGCTCAGGCTGGACAGGGCATTGTATTTTGGTCTTACCTGTCCAATCCTAAAACATGTACCGTGGACTGTCAACCTTTCTCTTTCTGACTATAAAAACCTATTCAAACTGATGCCACTATAAGGGCAAGTGTATACAAAGACTGGTAACAGCCAGCCCAAATAATGACTAATCATTTTAAAAAAGAAAAAAATGTGTGGGGATACAATTTCCATAGTTGAGACAGTGCATTACTCAAAGTCAGAATGAAGTGGTGCAAAGACTACCTGGAAGAAGGAATTAAGTCAGTCCAGGTCACTGTGGTGGTAAAGCACTGAGTCTGAAATTATCTGATGGAATACATAAGACAGTATGAGACTGCAAAGCCACATAGATACTTTTGATCCATCTATTGTACAGGTGATTATGAAATACTGTTTCAGGTAACAGATGCTTCAAGTCAGAATGAAGCTACTTAGATACTACTTTGTAAGTAGTAATGTAAGGTAAGCAGTAGCTATAAATTTAAAAACCATTTATGTATAGCAGCATAAATTACCCCTGCACAGAGGTCAACACAGTCCTGACTTAAATATTTCTGGCATCAGACCAGCTTAAAAACAGTTTCTCTGTCTTATACTCTGCCCTGCATATACTCGTTAGACAGCAGAATTAGGAACACAGAAGGCCTTTCTAGTTGGTGGATCAAATGTAATTATCATGAATTCAGAGCAAATTCATCTCCATAGCATGCATGAGAAGGAAATATGAGTCGGCTCTGAAATGCAAAATCTCAGTCAGACTTGAGCAGCATTACAGGAACAGCTGAGCTGCTTCTTATTTCTTCCTCATTTTGCTTGCTGACCTCTCATTTTCCATTCTCCTTGTTATTGTTGCTCTTCTGCTTTTCTTAGGAAGGCTGAAGTAGAGGAGCTATTAAGTCTTTCAGCATTTTCTGCTTCCTTATCTGCTCTCCATATCCATTATCAAGCTGCTACATTTTTCCTTTATCAGATTTTGGCTTCTTACATGCTTTTTATATACAGATAGAGATGGCACAGGTTCTGAGGGAACATCAGGATAGAGTTTACAAGAAGAGAGCAATACAAAATGAGAGAAGGAACAAAGGTGGAAGTAAAATGATGCAGTACTGGTGAAGCAGTCATTGCTCTTGGCTTAGGTCACTGGCTTAAGAACATTCCAGTCTCTTCTTTTATACTTTTCTTCCTTAAATTAATTCCCTGTTCTTTTTATCCCTTTCCATTCACCATCGCACTGTTTCTTTGGTCTTCTTATAGTTCATCTACTACGCAAAACAAGAACAGCCTTGATTCCTGTAAACCACTTCTCTCAAACAAAATCAGCAGGCCTTTGCAGGTCAGCTTTCTCCTCTCCCCTGCTAGATCTGTCAGATAAGACAGCTGTATTCCACTACTATACATCTCAGCGCACATTGGCATCTTTGTTTACACCTATGCTATTTTATTAATATATTTGGATTCTTCAATTAACATTTCATTGCTCAACAGTTCCAGTAAGATCGTGCTATCGCTAAGTAGAATGATGAACAAAAACATACAATTTGTCTCAAAAAATCTGAAATGCAGGGACAGTGAAAAGAGAGAGAGATTTTCCCCAGAACCAATTATTTGTTTATCTGCTTTAGCCTATTAATTGTCGTCTGGTTAATGCAAAATAGTACTGCTTCCTAGATGAACACTTATAGGAACATTCTAGCTTCATTCTATGTACGAATAGGCCAAATCCACCAACTAAATGTATATAATTACAAAGAAAATGTAAGTAATTCCTGCTGCAGACTATCACAAAGAAAGGACAACAATTTCTCCAGATAAGTAGTAAGGCAGGAGATGTGTGATGGGAATAACAGGGATCCTCAATAAATTAATCCTGAACTTTCTAAAGCAGCTGTTATTCAGGACTTGACTACACAAGCACATTATCATAAACTAGCAGGTTTACTATTCTGCTGCAAGTATGTATATACAAGCAGCTATATGGAATAAATACAGTGCCCTCATACTGTTAATATACTCTTGTAGCTGTGTTCTTAGGCAGCTCACTAATCTGAGCATCTCTCACTGCAATTTCCTTACAGGAAAGTATAGACAGGTCACTAATATATATGAAATTTAGTGTTCTTCTGTAGAAAGGATAAGTTTAACAAACCAAGACAGCTTTGCATGCCACATGATGCTGTCCTGAAGACACAGAACAAAGCTCCAATGTTTCTATTTTAATCTCTGGAGCCAGAAAAACACAAAGGATTTTACAAGCTGTTAAACAGTATGAGATACTTACCGTCCTGAAGAAGCTTGTTTAAGTGAACCAGCACTTTCAAACAACTGGGCTCTTGCAGCCACTCTGAAAATAAGGAAGCATCTTGCTTTATACTTTGCTCATTAATTAAACACACAGACTATAGAATCATAGAATATTCTGAGCTGGAAGGGACCCACAAGGATCATTGAGTACAACTCCTGCCTCCACACAGGACCACCCAAAAATCAGACTCCATGTCTGAAAGCACTGTCCAAACGCTTCTTGAATTCCAAGAACTGCTCAGTGCCATCACCACTTCCATGGGGAGCCTGTCGCAGTGCCTGACCACCCTCTCAATGAAGAACCATTCCCTAACACCCAGCATGACCCTCCCCTGTCCCAGCTCCATGCCGTTCCCTCAGGTCCTGTCGCTGTCCCCAGAGAGCAGAGCTCAGCGCCTGCCCCTCCGCTCCCCTCATGAGGGAGCTGCAGGCCGCCATGAGCCCTCCCCTCAGCCTGCTCTGCTCTGGGTTGAATGAACCAAATGACCTCAGCTGCTCCTCATATGTCTTGCCCTCTAGACCCTTCACCATCTTTGTAGTCCTTCTTTGGACACTAATGATTTTCTGTTTGTTTATATTGTGGTGCCCCACATTGCACCCAGTTACTCGAGGTAAGGCTGCACCAGTGCAGAGTAGAGCAGGACAATCACTTCCCTCAACTGGCTAGCAATGCCATGCTTGATGCACACCTTGATAACTAATTTCACTTTTAACCATCTAAAGACAAGGAAACATATTTTTTAAAAAAATGTTTTAATTATTCAGGCAGAGATCAGGTTAAGAAAGCTGAAGTCCTATTAGAATTAAATTTGGCCAGGGACATCAAGGGCAACAAAAAAGGCTTCTATAGGTACATCAGTGATAAAAGAAAGACTAGAGTAATTGTGGGCCCTCTCTGGAAGGACACGGGAGACCTGATTACCTGGAATATGGAGAAAGCTGAGGAACTCAATGACTTTTTTGCCTCAGTCTTTGCTGCCAATGAGCTCTAGCAATGTAGCCCAGACCAAGAAGGCAAAGGCAGGGACTCGAGAAAATGATGAACTGCCCAGTGTGGGAGAAGATGGTTGGTCAACACTTAAACACCATTTCTTCCAAGCTCAAGACTGGTGCACCCCTAAGAGTAAGAAATCAGAGCAAGGTGGCCAGAGGCCTCTGTGCTGCCCATGTGCCCGTGGAGAAACTCAAAGGCAAGAAGAAAGCCTACAAAATGTGGAAAAAGGGCCTGGCCACTTGGGAGGAATACAGGAACGCTGTCAGGGCCTGCAGGGATGAGACAAGGAAGGCTAGGGCCCATTTGGAATTAAAACTGGAAAAGGAGGTCAAGGATAACAAGAAAAGCTTTTTAAAGTATGGCAATAGTAAAAGAAAGCCAAGGGAAAATGCAGGTCCACTACTGAATGAGGTGGGTGCCCTTGTAACAGGGGATGCTGAGAAGGTAGAGATACTGGATGCCTTCTTTGCTTCGGTCTTTACTGCCAAGACTGCTCCTTGGGAATCCCAGATCTGGAGGTAAGGGAGAGAGTCTGGGGAAAGCAAGACTTCCCCTTGGTTGAGGAGGATCTGATCAGAGAGCGTCTAGACAAAATCAATGCACACTAATCCTTAGGCCCCGATGGGATGCACCCATACTTGCTGAGGGTGCCGGCAGGTATGATGGCCAAACCACTTGCTATCATCTTTGAAAGGTCTTGTAGAATGGGAAAGGTGCCAGATGATAGCCAATGTCACACCAGTCTTCAAAAAGGGCAAGAAGGAGGATCTGGGCAACTGCAGGCCAGTCAGCCTCACCTCTGTCCCTGGAAAGGTGACGGAACAACTTGTTCTGGATGCCATTTCCAAGCAATTGGAAGAGACAAAGGTTATCAGGAATAGTCAGCATGGATTCACCAAAGGAAAATCATGCTCGATGAACCTGGCAGCCTTCTGTGATGTCATTACCAGCTGGGGAGATGAGAGGAGAGCAGTGGATGTGACTTCTGGAAGATTTTTGACACTGTCCCCCACAACATCCTTGTAACGAAGCTTAGAAAGTGTGGGATAGATGAGTGGACAGCAAGGTGGATTGAAAACTGGCTGACTGGCAGAGCTCAGAGGGTTGTGATCAGTGGTGTAGAGTCTAGTTGGAGGCCTGTAACTAGCACTGTTCCCCAGGGGGTCCATACTGGGTCCAGTCTAGGTCAACATCATCAGTGACCTGAACAACGGGATAGAGTCCACCCTCAGCAAGTTTGCTGATAATACAAAGCTAGGAGGAGTGGCTGACACACCAGAAGGCTATGCTACCAGTCAGTGAGACATCAAACAATCAGGTTGGATTAGGCTTTGAGCAACCTGGTTTAGTGGAAGGTGTCTCTATTCATAGCAGGGAGGTTGGAATTAGATGATACTTAAGATCCCTTCCAATAAAAACCATCCCGTGATTCTATGATTCACTTAGAAAAACAAAGGAAATTAAAATGTTGCATTTAAATCCCTATTCAACAGAATTCTTAAGCGCATAACCTAATTTAGGCCACTGAATTCCACGTGCTCCAGAGCCTTGCTGAGTCAGCAAGTAGGAAAACCTTAGCACGCTATGTTTAAAATTATATTCATGGATGACCAATGGATATACTGGACAGTGCTTGTTATTCCAGTCTGTTATTTTCATGCTTGAACTCTGAGCTGTTGTACTTCTGTTTAAGTTAAGACACATCAATTTGTGAAATAGCTACTGTCATCTCTTCCAGTTTAAGAAGTGAAGAGGCTTAACAGATTCCTCCAGTATTTGGAAAATTTCTTGGTGTTCTGCAGTGATTATGGAAATCACTTGCTCATGGCACTAGAGAAGGCCTGGGACAGTCAAAATTACAGCAATGATCTTCTAATTCTTAAGCTTGTGCTATAAACACTAAGAATCATTGCTAACCTAAATCTCAACCAGCTAAATTATAACCTCTATTGTTAGAACTATCTTCCTCTCAAGAAAAAAAAATATCGTCAGAAAAAAAACACACCAAAGATCTCAACTATTGATCATGCAACAACTGAAGAAATTTCAGATTTTTTTTAATCTCACTCCAATTTTTAACCTATAGTAATATGATCTGATGATCTTCTTCACATAACGGCATGAGCAGTAAGCAGCAATTGTGCTCCTTGAAATATTAAATTTCAGAAGAGTGAGAGATAATAATACTTATCACTTTCCAAAGATCCATGTCTTCATTAGGGACCTTATCAATAGTCTAATGAAGTAAATGGGAGTCTTTCAACTGACTTTAGCAGTCTGTGTTGTGTCTCCTTTGTTTACTTTACAATTTTAATGAAGCTAGATAAATAATTAATACATAAAGAAAATTTCAAATCAGGTATTCATGGATGCTTTTTCTACTATTTATACTAGCTCTTTGGGATCCCTTCATAGTAGACAACACTGTAACAACTCAAAACTGCAATAGGCCTTGACTTACACAGATCCTGGTCTTTGATAACCGTTACTCGATGCAGTATCTAATCTTAATCTCCTGCACATTTTGGGAGGCAAATCAGGGTTTGCTGGAGCCTTTGGTGTATCTTTGGTATCTGTTGAAGATAAGCTCTGTATAGATCCACTGTAGCTTTTGTTACCTAAAGAAAGCAATAAGGAATATTAAAGCTAATTTGAAGTTATTTCACAACACATGCAACGCAAATAATTTTTTCTTAAGAAGCAAAATAGAGAGAAAGAACTTACTAAGTAAGTACTTACTAGAAGAAAAAGCCTTTCAGACAAAGAGCTAGGAGAAAAGGACCAGCAGCAAAATTAGATTAAAATTGTAAAGGCTAAAAAGTTACATTGCACTTAAATGGTTAGATAGTACTTTCAACAAAAAGTGAAAATAAACCCCCTCAACATTTATAAAGTAGTACAATGCATACAATTGTAGAAAAATTCATGTTGGAGGGCACCTCAGGAAGTCATCTTGTTCAAAGTCTTGCTAAAAGCAGTATTCACTAAGAAATGAGACTGATATTAATTTGTAAGAATTAATATTTCAGTATTCACAGAAGCTTCATGAAGCTTTTAAATTAAAAAAATATATTAAGCACTAATAATTAAACTTTCCTAAAACAATTGTTACTGTAACTTGATAAACAACCTATAGCTGCAGAGTCTGTATTGTACAGAGAAGAAGTCCTTTTAATGAACACAAGGTATGCTCTCGTGCTTTTTAAGCTGATCTGTGGACTGCTACTTTGTTTGCATATACACTTGCAAGACAGTAACTGAATCCACATGTACTTCTATGTTTCTTTATTCCCAAGAACAACAGATGCTTAATGATGCTTTAAGGGCAGTTATAATATAGAGGTCTCTGTAATTATAAAAACACTACCTATATCAATCTTGTTATTAATTAACACTTGCTCATATAAGGGAGTCGTAGGAAAAAACTTGTACACACCATGAGGGATACAGGGCAAAGAACTTTCTTTAACTTTCAGTGCTTCCCACACAAACACGTATTTACCCTACCTGTACTTCTATTACTTATCATATTGACAGCTCAGTGGCAAACTCAGCACTAATACTTTGTCCACTGGAGCTCATTGTTTCAGAGCTGACTGTTGATCTTCATAATCCAAAACATTTCAAGACAGCGTCTGTTCTAAAGTAATTTCCAGATAGCTATCAATATTATCTCGTGTACTCACAGAGGTAAAGCAAGTGTCTAAATTAAGAAGCTCTAATTTCAGCCTTCTCTATATTGTAAGGACCCTTTCTACAGGTTTGTTTGGAACACAAGTGCTTCTTAGGTGCTAGGAGGGTGTTCTTCAAATCAGCATCCTTCTTTGACTGAACAGGAAGACTGCTTTCCTAACTTTCACATTGAAACTGGATTCCTAAAGGTGGGTTTGCAAGTTCATTGTTGTTCCTGAACATCATGTCCATCCATATACAGACATGTTCAGCCATAATCTTGTGTTCAAGCTACTCTGCTTGCTGTATTGGATAACAAAAAGATGCAGGTATGGCAGAATGAAGACTATTCTGTAAGGAGGGTTTCAGATGTACATTTCATGCCATGGACAAGCAGAGACAAAGCTGTTACTCGCTAGATACATAAAGCATAATGGATTTTAAATTTAAATGCTAGCTTTGATCATTATCAATCATGTTGCAAGGATTCGTTCTTCTGACACAGGGATAAACCATAGCTACCAACTCTTCTATATTATAAGCCAGAAATCATCTTGCAAGTTAGTAGCCTCAGTGAAGCACAGCAGGACAGCGAGTACTCTAAATTCGGAGAAAAAATGGTATCTTTTAAGCTGTGTGAACTTTACAGATGACAACAGAAATATGCCAGAAGCAGTTTGAAAAGTGAAAGAACACACCACAATAGTTAAAAAATAAACAAACAAGATCAAAGAATATCATTAGCTTTCAGATGCACCTCATGTTTTCTGATACCTCACAGTAAACACAATGATGTCCTAAAAGACCTTGGAAATTACCTTCAGCTGATGGAATTGATCTGAGCGAAGAACCTGAAGATCTTTTCAGCTCGGATAGACTGTAAGAACTCTTCTTGGTCAGATCTGTTGGTGGAGAGGCATTCTCTGGTCCAGTGACAGAAGCTACACTTTGGCAGTCTGATTCCACATCTGTTTTTGTTGCATCCTCCTTTGATGAGGATTCTGGACTTGTAGTCCAGAGGCCTGAACTCTTCTGGCCATTAGAAGAAGGGGGAGAGGCAATCCATGGAATCCCTCCTGATTTCTCCCTGGGCTGTGGGGGTGCACATTTGGTGGTGCTGTTCTGCTCGGAGGAGTGAGAAGAGAGAGATTCAATGCTCCCCATGGGAGTGCTATCTGGGCTGCTGCTGTACGAGTCACCTAGGCAGGAGGGAGGGGAGAAGAAAGAGAAATAAAAAGATAATTACATTGTCTTACCATGTACATTTCTCTCATGCCACCTTTACCCCCTGTACATTATTTGTCATCAAATTCTGTGGTTCCATCGACAGTCATTCTCGAGACAAAATAGCAATTTAGTTGCTCTAAGTTTCACACGTTCCTATCTTTAACCTCAAAAAGCTGCATTTTGTGGATATTTCTCTAGAGTGGATGAACATAATGATCTACTGGTGGTGCTATTTCACAAAAAAGTTTGCATTTTCAAAGAACTGCCCACAATATATCATAAGGAAATTAAACAGTTCCAGTGTCACAATATCTTTTAACAAGTATCTTACTTTGCTTAATAAAGCAAATGTGGTGTTTGTCACATTTATGTTCTGAAATGCGTAACTCTATTGCCAGCAAGTTAAATACTTAAGTTTTACTTTGTTTACCAAGTTGCTGAGGATCTTGGCAGTCTCTCTAAGACTATCTAAGACATAAGTCTATCCACAGATATTTTCTGAATCATCATACCTTTCATGAAATCCCTGTCCTGTAGAAGGAGAACTCATTCCATTATTTACAACTTTAACATTGAACATTTGATTAATTTATTTAATTAGACTGATATTAGAGAAGTTGACCTACTTACACAAAAATGTGCTGATCTAATTATTTTCAAAGATATTGTGCAACAAGAAGTGGAAACATCCTAAAGAAATTTGTTGATATGAGGCTAGGAACACGCATCAGAAATGAGGAAGCACTGGCCTACAGTATAGTGAGAGATGAGTTATCTTAAAGATTGGATTCATAAAAATGCAGTAATAGTCTAGTGACTCATATGCTAGTTTCTAATAAGATTTTTTCCCCACAGCTAGGAGATATAACTCACAAATTTCAGAAGAAGCAGGGAACGTACATTTTTCATCCACACAGTGTTGTTTATCCACATAGTATTTATAAGATAACGTGATACAGATGCTTTTGACTCCAAAAGTTTCAATGTCCTTGGCAACAGGTGACTAAAGCCACTTGCCAATACTCACAAACACCAGTGCCTTGCCTAGTAGGTGTGAAAACAGTAGTGCCACTGGAACAGTAATTTGAAATATTCTGTCTACTTCTGCTCAGAACACTGGGTATTCCAGATGAGATTGTGCCCTAACTTACTCCTGACAGGCCATTAGTTTCTTGAAAATTGCAAGATAGGCTGGAGTGTAGATTTGTCAGATACATTTTCTATCATTCCCTACAGCTTGGCATTTATACTTCATGTTCTGCTGGCATATAAAATTCCTTAAATTCCTGAAATATAGTTAAATGTCCATCCTTCATTTAAATGATGACTAAAACCATCTAGCACTTCAGAAATAGCTACTGCTGGAAGCCAGGGCTCTCTCTTATCTGTCTCTGGCACAGCTAGAGATACTCTGCAAGGAGAATACTTGTGCTGCTGCCTCACCCTTCCAGGCACAAATGAGATATCTTAACTGGAACTTGTGTAGCAAATACTGAACTTGAGCCAACAAGCAAAGCCTATGTTGAGAGTTCCTGGGTCAGGGCTAGTTCCAGTCCAGCCACCAGTAGAAGGTTTGAGTCTGAATAAAGAAGATTGTGCTTGCATATGCCCTGCAAAATACTTGCACAGAATTGCCCCACAATAATGCAAAAAAGTTACACAGTGAAAGAAAGTTGAAACTTGCTAAATTTCTCTTCTGGTGTGTAGTTATAAGCGACAGCTCCTCCGTAAATTCTTACTCTAAGGATCCCATGTCATTCAAATAGGGAATTGATGTGTAGACAGCAATTGTGTAGACAGCAATTGTTCTAATTCAACATTTAAATTCTCATCATCAGGAAGTATGTAACATATATGTACATATAGAAAATGCAGCATCCATGCAAGAGCATAGCATGGATATATTTCCCAACATTACAGACTTGAGAGTTAATACAGAACCTACAGAACAGATAATCTTAACTGTGGATTCATTTACTGTACTAGTTTAACGTAAATCTCCTTGAGGAAATAGGGGAGACAAAAGTTCTTTTGGAAATCTCTTGCAGTAGCTGGCAAGCTATTCTTTGGTACAGTTTCAAATGGTTTCAACCTCTTAACGGTAAGGCAGGTAAGTAATAAGTGACGGTCCACTGGATGAAAAAGAAAGTGCAACTTTTTAAGTAGTCACTTCTACATGAAAATTAATACGCATTTGCAGCTGTTAACTGCAAACATAGCTCCCTGCTGTTAAACACTGTCATATGATGAGTATGCTGTTTCTCACAAAAATGTGAGCGCTTGTTTCTATTCCAGTAAAACTAACAAAGTTTCAGTGGTTTTGGCAACCTAGGCAGTGGTTTACTTTGAACCAGTGACCACAGTTTCACGCATGTGAAAAAAGCCAAGTAATGGCTTTGATCTCCGACCTTGACCAAATTGCATTTATTAAAGCTTCCAAACCTTAACAATCAACTTACAAGCAAATGAGGTGAATGTCATACAGTGAACTTTGTGGAGTTTCAAAGCAGGCTACACTTAGATTAGACTATAAAGTCTACTATAAAATATTTTTGAATACTGTATGCAATACAAGAATTGACTAAAAACAAATATTCTTTCTCCTCTGAGAGAAGTAAGGAATGCAGTCATTTAGCAGTGTGGCTGTGACTCACAGAGGTTAAAAAGCTGATGAAAACCCATCTGTGATGCTTATATTATTGGAATACAATATTTACTGGATATTCAGGATAACTAAAAGGCAAGACATAAAAAGGAAGATAACAAGTCAACATGCACTAACTTACTGTCAGGATCTGCTAGACATGGTGTGTACCTTCCTTTGGGTTTACGTGGACCTGTGGAGAGACAAATTGCTCTTGTCCTTCTTGAGCTTGAACGGGACTGAGGTTGGGGAAGAGGAATATTGGGGTCTGGTGCAGTGTGAAATATCTGTATGATTAAAAAAAAAAAAAAAAAAAGGAAGAAAAGACAAACAATAGAGGTACTCTTAGACTTCCATTAATAATCCACTTCTTTTCTTAATTGCTGTTCTTGAAATGAATGCTGTAATAGTCTCACACATTGTAGAAGTGTAAATTAAGAGAATACAGCTTTATCCTGATCTGATTTTACAATCCAGGAAGAACAGTAATGGATTAGTGAAAAACAAGCTGTACATAAACTTATACTAATTATATAAAAATATTTGTTTAAATGTTTTTTTTCTAGTCCCAGTTATGAAGTGCTTAACAATCTAAATCGTGAAACTACAATAAGCACTTACTACTAACTCCTGCCTAAGAAGTATATTTGTTAAATAAAAATTATGAAAGATTGAATTTTGTTCTCTATGTTCATATGAGAGCTTTTGTACTGTCACAGAAAAGAGTCATGATTGTAACTTATTTCAAACCCATTTGGATTTCAGAAAACTACTTTATTTTGTCAAGAAGTCAAGTTTCATGAGGATCGCCCTTTAGGTTTGGAGCATCTCTTGATTTTTACCTTTCCTGTACCCCTGCTATCACTGGTCAATTTTGTACTTCATTGCTATAGAAAACACCAATTTTTTTCAGGATCTGACACAAGTATACATAAAGTTTTAACAACTCTTTGCTGATGAGAACAGCAAGCCTGCCAACAAGAATAATGCCAGGCAACTTTAATTTAGGTGACTTTCATTTGTATCACCTGTTCTGCAATATTCACCACACCTGCAGTACAGGTGTTGAAAGACCCTAAAAATCATCTGGTATACTTCTAGTAAAAATGGCAACTGGCTAGGAGGAAGATTGAAAAGGAAAATATAACCAAAAGATTTCTTTTTCTTTCAGATCTTCTTCCTCACTTATTCCTCCTAATGTAGACTGTGTTTGTAAACTCTATCAAGTATCTCTTACAGAATTCTGTGGAAGGAATTGTGATTAGTTCTGTGGGATGGAGAAGAGAAAGATTGCCTGTTCTGTTAAGCTACTGAAGGAATCAGAAGTGTTCAGTCTCTGTAGTGTAAGGAGCAAGGGCCAAGCATTGCAGGTTAAATACCAAGCAAAATGGGTCTCTGCAAGGACTTCTGGATTCCCTATCAATAGGGCACTCTTAGAACAGGATGAAGGGAACAATGAGAAGACACCTTTGTGCCACTCAAAAAGTGGATGAAAGCAAATATACTTTGATAGTAGAAAATACTTTAACAGAGGATTTGAGATGCTCTTGAAGTATATTAAAAACATAGTAGTAATTGGTAAGTATCATGTCAGTGAAAAAACATGTCTTGATGCAGAGAAATAGAGCAAGGGTGATTTTAGTTGTGCAGTCATGGTCTTTGTGTTGAATTTGCTGATGATTTTCTGGAGAGGAAATTCAGTGTTGGAAATGTAATATGTATGGTTTGGAGTTACATGTACGAAGACCACCAGTGTCATACCAGTTTTGATGAGTCCTTTTGAAATATAACTGATGATTATAAAGCAGTACTGTCAGTAGTTACTTACCAACCAGTTCAACTGCCCTTGAGCTGAGTAATGTGAAATGGTATAAAACCAAAGTTCTTTCACTTTGTTTTGTTAATCGTCAGATAAGGTAATATAAATCAACAAAATACCTTAAGAATACTATTTCTTTTGAGGATTAAGTAAAGGAGGTCTTGACTATTCTGCCAGATTCTGTAATCAAATAATAAATCAACAACAACAAAACTTAGGAAGCCTTTCAGTGAAGCTGATTCCTGAAATGGTAGTGACTAAAAGTAACTTCTTCTCATTTCATAGATTTTCCTTCTTAAGCCCTGAAAAAGTTTTTATTCCGTGTTCCAGGAATGAGTGTGAGATGTACTTCTGCTGTCTCTTTGAGGAAAACAAAATAAACCACGGAGTCACAGGTTACCTTTCTTCAGATGAAAAGAAGTACCTAGAGACATCCGTATGTTCAAATCACAAAGATTTGATAGGTTAAAAATCTGTAACTAGGGATAAAAGGTCACCTAAGAAACTTTTTTTTTTCTTTTTACAAGTTTGATCTAGTATCTACACACTTGAAAAGTGACAGAGCATGTAGAATTGGGGATTCTGCTGGGAATCCCCACTGATGCTGCTTTTGGAAAGAGGAACTGAAGGATAGCTGGGGTTTCATGGTGGGACTTAACCTCCACTGTGAAGATAGCATATCCCCAAAAGACAGTAATAGTCAGAAAGACTCTGTGCTGATGCACAAAGTGTACACACAGGAGAATCCATGATTTCACTTAGAATGAACCTCAATATACTGCTAGCGTGAGAGATAGAAGAACAAAGGAGCAAAGTATGCTCTTCTCAGTTCTGTTTCTAGATATGAGAAGGACACAGCAATCTTCAGAAAGCTAATGAAGATTCAGAACTATGCCCTCAAAGCACAGGAGATTATCCCTTGTATTTATACCTTTCATAGCCAAAAAATCTTGCTACGAATACCGATCCATAGCAAGGGCAAGGAAAAAGGTACTCTTTCTATCAATAACCTTCTACAAATGCTGAATTCAGACAATCCTGAAGAATTTTTGGATGGCAATGAAAATGAGATCTCAGTTTCATTTTATCACAAAACATTCAGATAATCTCCTACTACCTTTTCAGTAATGCTCTATCAGAATTTCAACGACGATATTCTGAAACTTAATGTTCATCATAGCAGCCACGGTTTCTTCTTGGGCTCTCATCAGAGTTGGTCCAAAGATAACACCAAGGTTGGATACTGTCATAAGATTTTGCTGACTGTGTAATGATACCCTTTAAATGAACAGAAATGATATGCAGTTAAATAATTGTGCTAAACTACAATTCCAACAGGCAAAATCTCACATTCATGCTTCCCCTTTAAAAATACTTTAACATTTTACAATTTACTAGAGTTAAAAGCTAGTGCAGTACTGTATTTCCATTAAGGCTCCAATCTTACAATAATTTAATGGCTAAGAAGCAAGTCTTCGTAGAGTAAGTATCTAAGTTCCATACATAACTGATAGGGAAAAGGAAACATCTCTGAATGATAGTTCCACAGAGAGATCCAGTCCATTTAAAGATTAGGAGCCATAGATACCTCTCTATCTCCAGTTGTTATACAGAAAATTAATTATTCAAATGACTGAAAATATTGGGTGAAAACAGAGGTTAACTGTATACCTTAGCTTTCATGCAAATGAAAGAAACTTAGTTACTGAAAACACTTAAACTGCAATTGGATCTTTATGTCTAAAAGGTAGGAGCAGTGGGGTCAGTGTCACTGTTTTTGTGGTATAGATAAAACACAAAAAGATCATCTTCTGCCTTTAAAATACACTAGCCTTGTAAAAGCCATGAAAAAAAAGCCATGAAAGCCATCTATCAGTAATCCACAAAATACTTTTCTCTCCTTACAAATAAGATTTACTGAATAAAATCTGTATCATCATAAATTCTTCAAAATAAGTGGCAGTGACTCCCCAGTCACAGCTGCCCCATTGCCTTACATGTCTGAGAAATACCTTGACAAGTGAATTTTTCATAACTGCCTTAATGCTTAGTCTTACTGAATCTGCTACCAAATAGAGGCACACATTCACATTTTCCTCTTCCTTCTCACTGCTCTATCTATTACTGTTGTCAAACTGATAAACACCATTTTACCCACTTCTTAAATAAGTAAAATAACCCTTGTACCTTTTAAAATTAAGAAACAGTGAAATCTATAAAACAGTGGAAGGAGCAGGTAGGAGCAAACCATATCTTCTGTTTTTCTCTGACAGCCTTCATTAATCAAAGTTATGGAGACATCTGCCATGCTTTTCTTCCAATAAAACTCTCAGGTATCTTGATTTGTTCTTAATGTTATACAAACTCTAGCAAAATGATCTGTCTGATGTTAAAGTTCGGTAGCAAATTACACAAATATTATCCCTTTACAGATTAGAAAGCCAGTGACAAAAAGACTGTGAGATTTTCCCATAGCTGCTGGGAAGTTTTGTAAGGATCAGGATCAAACCCATATCTGGACTCACAGACTACCCTCTCTCGGTCTCACAGTGGAGTAGGCACTAGTGGTACACTGAATGAGGGAATGAACAATAGAGTTATCTGGGTAGAGAGGTGAACTAGACTAGAATTACTTCTATAATGAAGTAAATACTGCCTTCGTAATTAGAACAGGAACGCTTTGGCACCTTATTTACTCTGAGAATCAGGAGAAAGATGGGAAAGAGGTTTGTACAGGAGATAATGTGATATGAACTGCAGAAAAATAAATACCTGTCTTCTTACATTTCCTATTTTGTTTCATTAAGTTAGGCCTAAAAGCATCCCAAAATTTTACTTAGACACAGTGGCAGAGATTGTTTTTTGGAAGCCTAATCATGGAAATTTTTACCTTGTTAAAGCATATTTTTAGCCAATTATTTCCATGTAAGTTTCTCTGTAATAGATTCTCTGTTTGGCTGAGGGGTGTTTGGGAAGTCCACTAGTGTCTTAATGAAATGTAATTTTGAATAACTAAGCTCTAAGTCTGTTAGAAAACCTAAAAAAAAAAATAACTCTATGCAATGTTAGTCTGCTTTGTGCTGCACAACAATTGTTAAGGTCTCTTACACAAACATAGTCTTACAGCATAGGACAGAAAATAGTGTTTGTACTGTGTTTGCGTTTCCTCGGTGACAAATTTGGTAGCTTGGCTAATAAAAGGAAGGGTGAATTTAATAACATTGTAACCAGAAAGGACTTTCTGCAAAGCATCTCAAAGGCTCAATTTCTAGCAAAAAATGAAAAAAAAAAAAAAAACAGGCCTGTAAATGGATCATTTTGATAACCACTTTCCCACTTTCCTCTGACCTAGTCCTACTGTTGCTGGGCTACTGAATAGGTAGAGGCCAAAGCAATCATGCGTTTTGGGTAGCCATAAGACATTCATTAATGTGCAATTGCTTTCTCCTCAAAATCTCTTTCTTTGATGTATCCCCAGTAAATCTGATACTACCAGACTGCAGGCTATCTACTATAGAAGGGTATGGTGCTACTAAATTATACCAAAGAATGATCCCTTCTTCAAAGGAGACAAGCAGATAATTTAATTAGGAAGGTTTAAAAACAACAACAAAAAAATGAGTTTCCTATCTTAAAATAACACCAAACCTCCAGTTCTTGCCTAGCTGCTGACTGAGTGTATAATCATGCAGCATGACCTCTCTTCAGAGTGCTTTTCAGGATTTGCTGGTTTTGATTGTTTTTAGTATGAGCTCCATCCTACAACATCTAGATCCTATTTAACTGTGCACAGTGACACCGAAGTCAAGGTAGGCAGAAACCTAAGGGCCTTAAGACCTAAACCAAGGGAGAAAACTAATATCCTCTTCCTATAAGGCACCGTTAAATGCATAGTATTTTTATGTAGACATAAGAGCATATGCAAAGGAACTGAACAGAAAAAAATAAATGCTGTAAAAGGACATACATTTTGAAATAGGATTTTAAACAAAAGAATGAAAAAACATGATTTTTTCATATTTATCCATTTACATAAAGTTATGCACTCTATTTTGTTCCTTGAAAAATTTCCACATGGATAGGAAAGAGAAGGAAGAAAAACAACCAATACATTCAAAAGACTAATTTTGAATTCGGGATCATTAGAATTGCTAGCATAAACAACAGCTGGCAAATTATGAGAAATTAGAAGGGATGAATTGAATATTGGAAAGAGACAAACTGAAAGTTTTCAGAATAAATCACAAAGATTTAAATTTATCAGAAATGAGAAGCACATCAAAGTTAAGACAGGCAAGAGCTAAAGAGAACAATTAAAGAAGGGGCTCCACAGTCGAAGCCATCAGCCTGTGCAAGCCCCAGTGAGCACAGCCCTGCCGTGATGGTGGAGAGCCAGGGACGTGCCCGACATGCCTGCAGTGTCTCTGATGAAGAGCTGGATGAAAGAGTTGACATCATCGTCGCTGCAGTCCTACTCCACTCTGTAGCCATCATCCAGGTAGCCCTAAGCAAGGCAGCAAGTGCTCCCTGGGTCACAGTGCCCACGGTGCCTCCTCCCACACCAGAGCCTGCAGAATGTACGTCCTCGGCCTCTGCCTTGGCCAGAGGCCCTGTGGGGGAGGCCAATGAAGCCCCTCTCGCTGCAGCAGCAGCGCCACAAGAAGAAGGTGGAGAAGGGGCTTCTCCTTTGGCTGCAGAGCCTCTCCAGGAGCCCAGCACAGATGTCCGCCCAGCAGCAGCTGACAAAGCAGGAGCAGCAGCCACTCCCTTGGTTCCTGGGCACCAGGTAAGCACAGCACGCGCCGTGGGCACCAGGCATCCAGGGCAGCCCCAGGCAGAAGCAGTGCATTGGGTGTGCATGCCGGGAGCTGCCTGCTGCTCTGCATTTCCACATGGCCCAGGCACAAGGGCTGACATCCCTTTCCTCAGCTGCCCGTGCTGTTCCTCTCCCATGCAGGTGGCCATCGAGCAGGGAGGCCAAGCGCAGTCCTCCTCCTGCACCAAAGATATGCCAGCGGATGAGCCAGCAACATCCCAGACACAAGCACCGTCCCAGGATCTGTTGGCCGGGCCTGTTCAGCGCAGCGAGCAGCACCAAGCACAAGGTTGGCAGCACCACGCGCAGGGGGGCTGGCTGGTCCTGTGCCACCCCTTCCCGGGGAAAGGCCTTGGAGGGGGGGGTCAGGCACGCCCAGCACCCGCTCAGGCCCTAACCTACACCTCTGTGTCCCCCACAGGAACCCTTGACCTCGCACAAGCCTCGGCGCGCCAGCCACGGCCCTCCCGCATCAGGAGGGCACTTCGCGCGCTGCGCAGGGCTTTCTGCTGCAGCTGCATCGCAGGAAAGCGAGAGTAGCCGCGCCCGGCTGTGCCAGTCCTAGCAGGATGCTCGGAGCTGGCAGCTGGCCCTCAGGAAGCTTTGCAGTGCCCACGGAAGCATCACTGCGAGGCACAGGACAGCGCCCCAGGAATTCAGATGCCCCACCACATCCTGCCCCCAGCCTCAGCTCAGCTGTGGATGCTTTCTGCTCAGAATAAAAGCTCAGGCAGACTTTTGCCCCCAGTGCTCCTCTCTGTGCCGTTGATCTCAGGAGAAAGAGTGGTGCAGGCCATGCCAACCCGGGACCTCTCACAGTAAGAGAAGTACAGAATCATAGAATCTACCACTGAACCGTGTCCCCTCGGCACCAGATCTACACGGCTTTCGAATGCCTCCAGGGATGGTGACTCAACTACTTCCCTGGGCAGCCTGTTCCAATGCTTCACAACCCTTTCGTTGAAGACTTTTGCCTAAACCTAAACCTAAATCCACCTAAACCTCCCGCGGCCCCACTTTTTCCTCTTCTCCTACCGCCTGTGGATTGGGAGATGGGACTGACCCCCATCGCACTACAACCTTCTCTGAGGTCCTTGTACACAGTGATAAGGTCTCCCCCAAGCCTCCTTTCCTCTAGGCTACATAACCCCAGCTCCCTCAGCACTCCTCACACGGACTTGCTCCCTGGGCCCTTCGGCTGCTCCTTTCCCCTTCCTTGGACATGCTCCAGGACCTCCACGTCCTTCCTGCAGTGAGGGCCCCAAAACTGAACAGGGTATTCATGGCGCGACCTCACCAGAGCTGAGTGCAGGGGGAGAATCAGGTTCACAAACCACGCGATGCTTACTACTATACCATATATGTACAATTTTATTTGACCAACCTTTATTTTCCCCTTTTCCTTTTTTTTTTAATTATTTTTGTCTTCATCTCTCGTGACTAGAAGGCCCGTGATTTATTATTTATTTATTTGTTTGTTACTGATTTTTGCCCTGTTTCTCCTGCTTTTCTTAGCTATCCTCCTCATTTTGCGACTGTGGGACGTTCCCCTTATCTGCTTAAAATACTTCACCTGGTATGCTACTGCCATGCCCGCACAATCCCTTTTGAAAATGCAAGGTTAGTGGAATTTTGCACTGCAAGAACCTGACGTGCTGTCAGCAGCCTGCAAGCTCTCCTGACGTGCTGTCAGCAGCCTGCAAGCACACAAGGGGAGGAAGTGCTGCAACAGCCGTTGCTCACCAAGCAGCTGCCAGGCAAGGAAAAGACAGTCAGTAGGACATGTGTCAGGACACTTTTCCTGCCAATGCGGCCAAATTCACCTGAGAAAGAAAACAGGAAAAGTCTCTTTCTTCTTATGTGGGACTCCAGGAAGACAGGCACAAGTTCTCCGAGAGCTGAAAAGTGGGCTTCTTTACCTGGAGGAGCTCAAAGCAAAAAACAAGAGAGCAGCCCCCTTTAAATAAGGAAGGAGGCACCCAGCCCAGGTACTAAGACATGCTGAAAAGCAAGAAAGGAGGAGCAGTATTTAAGCATTTCTGGCACTGGAAATGCAGCTTGGGGCTTCCCCAACAAAGAAGATGGGTGCCCTTGTGCTTTGGCCACTGCTCATGGGAAGGTGCCAGATGGGCGTTCACTGCGGAGAGCCCTGGAGATGGCCTCAGTGTCTGGGAGCTTCCCAGCTCCCTCCTTTTTGCCCCCTGCAGAAGAGCTGGGCTAGGAAGAGCACAGCCAACACCCTCAGCTCAGGAAAACCTCCACGGGGTTCCCAACTAATAGGGAAAGCCTTGAGAACCGGCTCTGGCTACATGCTGGCTTGCCCACACGGGGTGGCAGCTGCAGGAAGGAGCAGGCTACGAGGGCAGGACGAGGCTGCAAAGCCCACCTTTCAGTGCGAACTGCCTGTGCACGTGGTGGGGTATTGCATCCCCAACGTGCCCAGCCCCTGGAAAGCAAATGCCCCAAATCCCCTTTCAGCCGTGCCCTGGGGACGGCAACAAGGCCGCCAATGCCATGCTGCAGGCTGGCACGGCCTGCAGATGCCAGGCTGCCAAGCCCAACGTGCGGCCGCCACGCAGGCACCAGCTGCCAGAGGCTGCAGGAAGGTTCCAGAAGCAGCGGCAGCAGCCCGCGCAGGGGCAGCCGCGAGTGCAGGAGCCGCTCCTGGGCTCTGGGCTCAGGGGCAGACGCCTGCCCCTGCAGGGAACAAGGCCCACCCAGAGCCTGCCCAGCGGCATGGGCCTGCCCAGACATCCTGGGGGGAAGCCCTGGCCGCAACAAGTGAGCGGGGGGCATGCAGAAGCCCCTCACAAATGCTGACGAAAAACAGGGCCCACAAAGTGAGAGGCATCCCTGCAAGACTTGGAGCAAAGAGGCGCTGTCTCTCCAGAGAGCACGTTTCCTTCAGCACAAAGAAAAGGAAAGGCCTCTTGGCTCTAGATGCCGCCCGACACCACTGACAGCCGTGCTGCGGACAGGCCAAGGCCTCAGCCAGCTTGTGGCGCGGGGGGCAGGCAGAACTGCCAAATGGCCGCCAGGGCTGTCAGAGGGTGGGGCTGGAGCCTCCCTGTCAAGGAGCAGCTTTTCTCTCTCTCTCCCTGCACTCAGGGAGTTTCCTTCCTGTAGGGCCACAACTGAGCTGAGCAACCCAGGACTGAGAATAAAATTCTCTCGTTTCTGTCCCGTACAAGCCTCGAGTACATCCCACAAAGTGTGTGCGGTGACCCATTTGGGTGTGGGAAGAAAATTCTAGAATTGCCATTTATTTCTTTCTTAAACCATGAAAAGAAATAAGAAAGAAGCAATGTACAGTCTACAGAAGAGCCTGCAGACTGTACATCCTCAGCCTCTGCCTTGGCTGGAGGCCCTGTGGGGGAGGCCAATGAAGCCCCTCTCGCTGCAGCAGCAACGCCACAAGAAGAAGGTGGAGAAGTGAGATGCAGAGCATCTCAGGGAGGCCAGCTCAGATCTCCTCCCAGGAGCAGCTGACGAAGCAGGAACAGCAGCCACTCCCTTGGTTCCTGGTGTGACCTGTTCCAGCAAAGACACCGTTGTGTTACCAACACTGTCTCAGCCACAACTCTGAAGCATAGGACCTGCTTCAGCAGCCAGAGAAGCTGCAGGCTAAACAGCAGCATGGCACAGCTGTGGCTCTGCCGCTGAAAGCTTCTCCACAGCATGCTCTTAAAGCAAGGAGCAGGGAATCTTCCTGCCACACAGAGTCGGGAGCCCCAGGAGGGTTCGGTCGAACATCGTTGGCAGCCCTGGCAGCCTGCGACAAGCAGGCAGCACTTGCAGGAGGAGACAGGCAGGGCATTACCCTGGCAGGCTGAGCCCCGCTCTGCGTGGGCAGCTGCCAGGGCGTGCCGGGGGCCGCAGCAGGGCAGCTCACAGCAGCACTTCTAGGGGGTACACTGAGCGGAATGGCAGAAATGGCCCAAGTAACTTGGCCTTTCTCCTTGCCTTCTCTTGCAGATGGAGAAGAAGCCGCAAGACATCAAGACACTGCCTCACCGTGGAGTGAGGCAGGCCGAGAGAATCCAGCTGCCAGCCCTGCCGCCTTTGCCAAGGCAGGCAGCGACTCAGGCAGCAGCACCCAAGCAAGTGCCTGCGGCACAGGCATCATCGCCTGAAAGGGCCACTTGCAAGCTGCCCCCTCTGCAAGCAGCAGCCTCTGCTTCTTCAGGGGGAAGAAGGGCAGAGTCATTGGGAACAGAGGCCCGCAGCCAGCAAGAGCTTTTGCCACCTCTTCCCTGCATCTCTGGCAAGAGGGACAGGGCAGTGAGGGCAGAGAGGCGGGAACGTGGCCCACACAGCCCTGTGGCCCCTGACGAGGACGTGGGCAATGCAATACGGTCCTTCGTGTCCACTGTCATAGCAAAAGCTCTAGCCTGCAACGAGGGAGCCAGCAGCAAGAAAAGGCTTTCTCCCTCAGGCAGAGGTCCTGGGACCAAAGGCCCCAGAACACCACCTCTCGCCACAGCAGCGGCCCAAAACTGGAAGAGTCGGCACTCGTCCAAAAGCAGCCTTGCATCCCCTGCCGAAGAAACGGAAGACCCAGTAAAGGCCTTTGTCTCCACTGCAATAAAATGGCCTTGCCTGGAACCAGGGAGCCATGAGGGAGGCAAGGCTTCCTCCCGTGGGCAGACCTCCCATGAGCAAAGGACACAGAACACCACCTCAGACCGCAACTGGGCCCAGAATTTAAAGAAGAGCTGGCAACCTGCCCCACACAGCCCTGCAGACCCTTGCATGGCACTGCGGGACACAGCACACTCCCGCGTGTCTGAAGTGCTGCAGAAGACGCAAAAAAGCTGGGAACACGGCCAACGATCAGCAGCACGTGGGGACCTGGCACAAACGGGGTGCAAATTGAGAGCAACAAGTTCAGCCGGGGTCCAGACAGACATGGAGAGGACGTGGACGACTTCTCTGCCAGGGCCTGATTCCCGGGTATGTGCAGGAGCAAGGGCTTCCAGCAGAGACCCTGCAGCAGCTAGCCCAGGCCAGGGTAAGAAGCAAAAACATTCAAACCCAGGCAGGGGACAGGGCAGGGGACATGTCAAACCCAGGCAGGGGACAGGCAACGAGGGGACAAGGCAAGGCCGGGGCAGGAAGGAGAGCAGTCCTGGGGGATGCGATGAAGAGGAGGAGATCGTCATCATCAACTCCTGGATCAACCCCAGGTTCGCCAGCCTCTTTACAGACCCACAGGACGTTCCCCAGGAAGAGGGCAGCGCAGCCAGCAGTGTGGACAGGGAGGCAGCACAATAAGCAAAACACCCAGCAAGCGCCTCTCCTGGCTCACTGCAAACCATGGACACTGCCCCATCAGCTGCTCCCCAGGAAGAAATTCCTGGGGAAGAGAGGCACAGCACGCCTCTCACTTCAACAACAGCAGCACAGAGCAGGCCAGCAAGTCCTCCAGCAGCCCCTGCTCTGGAAGATGAGGGACACGGGATGCCTCCCCTGACACGTGGGGCTCAACAGTCAAAACCATCAGCCTCTCTAAGCCCCAGTGAGCACAGCACTGCGGTGATGGTTGAGAGCCAGGGACGTGCCCAACATGCCTCCAGTGCCTGTGATGAAGATTTGCATGAAAGAGTGAAGACCATCGTTTCCACGGTCCTACGCCGTGCTGTAGCCATGAGCCAGGGAGCCGTGAGCAAGGCACCAAGTGCTCCCTCGGCCACAGGACCCAGCGTGCCTCCTCCCACAGCAGAGCCTGCAGACTCTACATCCTCAGCATCTGCCTTGGCTGGAGCACTGGGGGACCTGGCACACACGGGGAGCACAGGGAGAGCAATGAGATCAGCCGGGCTCCAGACAGACATGGAGAGGAGGCGGACCACTGCTCTGCCAGCGCATGACCCCGGGTATGTGCAGGAACAACGGCTGCCATCAGAGACTCTGCACCAGCTAGCCCAGGCTGCGTTGGGAAGCAAAAGCAACAGAGAAAGGAAAACGTCAAACCCAGGCAGGGGAGAGGCAACGAGGGGACAAGCCAAGGCCGGGGCAGGAAAGAGAGCAGTCCTGGGGGATGGGATGAAGAGGAGGATGTTATAAATGGCTCAGGATTCAAATTAGGATTAAATAAAAAAATAGGATTTATTAAAAGAATATAAAGGAATAGAGGTAAGCAAACAGCGCTGGGTGCACCGGGAGTCTCCGCTCCAGCAGGACGCACACCAGTTACATCAAGCAGCTGATTTTTATGTACCTAGACTAATACATATTCATTACTACTTCTAAAAAAATAGATTATTATAATTAGCTTCCGGGGTCCAGTTCCTCCTACTGGAGCATGCGCATCAGTCTCCTCTGGGGGTCTCTAGGGGTCTTTCATGCTGAAGGCTTGTAGTCTTCCTCTCACCCTTTGTACTCACTCGGCACTATTCCAAGTTTATGGAACACTCTCTGTACACTCTCCGCAGGTCTTGTCTCCCAACCGTCCTTCAGCTTCTTTTTCCTTCCTCTTAATCTCTTGCCCCCCCCTGGCCAGATACCAAGGATCCACATAGTATCTCATAACAGTCACCAGCAGTCACCGGTTATTATCAGTTGTTCTGAAACTCCCAAACAGGTTGACGACCACGAGCAATTAAAACATTCTTTCCCAGCTATTTACAGTCATCTACATAACATCTATAGCAGTGTTAAATCAATCTCGAAGAGACAGAAAAAAAACCCTGTAACTGTTAGAACTAGAAGTCAGGAATAACAAAAGCAAACAGGTTCATAAATTTAAGGAGTGTTTTCTGAAGACGTGATAAATTGACTGGAATGAGGGGGAGACTGGGGCACACTGCATCTGTGGTTCAAGAATTAAATTGCCAGTGCAGGGCCCAGAGGCAGACAGGATTCAAACAGAATTATTCTTTATGGACACAAATTTATGGACACGAATTGGAATTGTTAAAATATTCCTCACAAGGAATATATCTGGAGTCCTCGTAATTCTGCGTGAGGTCTCAGGGGGGCTTTGGCGTTGTGGGTCTTCAATAATAGGTACATGTGGAATTATTGCCCCCAGGGTGCAAGCTGCCTTTCCAGCCAAGGGGCAACACCTTCCTGCATTTATTGCCGCAGAGCCAGTACTACCCTTGCCATTCGGGACAGGCCATCCCCTTACAGGATTCTCATGTTGTATCTGCTGTACAACAACTTCTACTGTTACTGTTACAAGTGTTACTCTAGAGGTGAGGAGTCACTCCCTTCACAGCAATACTTTGTCTCAAGCAGATCCAATACTTTGTCTCAAGCACATACACTTACACATATACTTCCTTGCTGGTGCAGCTCCTGCTGCCTCCGGTGCAATATTAGGGTTAGAGGGAGCATAACTTGATTCCTCCTGCGGAAAAGGAGTCTTATGGTTTACCTGTAAACTTGAAGCGGGAATTTTCATCGGACCTGCGTTGTGGCCAAAGGAGCAAAGTTCCTTTTAATGGCTTTTCAGGCCAGACAATTGGACAATATCTAACCTGTGCTTTTTATCCTTTTCCCTAGTTTTGGGGTTGTTTTTCCAATTCCTTCTCTTTCTCCCCAAAGGACGAGCTTTACGCACAATTCCGAGGATTGTGCTTCTGAAGATCTCCAAGGATGGAGACGCCACAGCCTCTCTGGGCAAACCTGTTCCAGCAAAGACACCGTTGTGTTACCAACACTGTTTCAGGCACAACTCTGAAGCATAGGACCTGCTTCAGCAGCCAGAGAAGCTGCAGGCTAAACAGCAGCGTGGCACAGCTGTGGCTCTGCTGCTGAAAGCTCCTCCACAGCTTGCTCTTAAAGCAAGGAGCAGGAACTCGTCCTGCGGCTGCCCAGGGCTTTCCTCTCACAGCCCTGCCAGAGCCTGCCTCAAGCCACCTCTCTGCCAGCTCCACCGGCTCCCTGGAGCCCACCTTCTCTGGGAGCACTTCACAGTGCCTAGAGCCACAGGCCTCTGGCTGCCCGGACACGGGAGGAATCCCTGCTCCTGCTCCTGCTCCTGCTCCTGCTCCTGCTCCAGCTGCACTGCCAGGGTGGCCTGATGGCGTCCAAGCTCGAGTGCAGTCTCTGCTGATGTGTGGGCAGTCAGGCAAAAGAGCCAGGAAGCTTACGCGGACGACCGAGCAGAGCATCTCCTGGCAGAGCAGGTAACGCGCAGTTACCTGGGAGCAGTTAGGGAGCTAAGCTGACTGCCCTGAGAAAGACTGAGCTGGGGCTGAGCCGGGGGCACTGGCTGGAAGGAGCCAGAGGTACCTGCCAATGCAGATCCTGCTGTGGGTGTGTGAGACGGTGTCCCTGGGGTGTCTGCCAGAATATGGGCTTGAGGGCCCCATGGCAACCACCGGGGCATTGTGATGCGTACCCAAAGGCCATTGTGACACGGAGGGGTACCCACGGCAACGGTGTCCCTTATAAAGCCCGAGCCCCGGGCTGCCCACTCACTCTCAGGAGAGCAGCTCTGTCAGGAGGCAGCAGCTCACCTGGGTGCCCGTTGGAGTTCTTGGTCAGAGGACCTGGAGCATAGCATGGAGCAGCAGAATAAGGATGACTCCCAGCCCGCTGAAGGGCAGCGGAGCGTGCAGGAGCGGCGCCAGGTGAGGCTCAGGGAGCGAGACAGGGACAGCAGTGTGACGGGATGGCACCGAGAGCACCAGGATGAGGAGAACGGTGCTGGAGCGAGCCGGCCAGCTGGCCCTGAGCCCCTCCGGCCTGGACACAGTTGTTCCCAAACCTGGGGTTTCTCCATGAAGAGCCCACCCCCAGGACAGCCAAAGCCCACGTGGCCCTGGCAGTTCTGTGCCCACAGGCACAAAGAGCAGCGTGGCCTAATTCAACCTGGCTGTGCGCAGCCAGGAGCTGCCTCCACCGTCCCTCCATGCGGACAGGCTGCCGGTGCGGTCGTGCCCAGAGAGCGTGCGTCACACTGGCAGCTGCCACACGGAGTCGGGAGCCCCAGGACGGTTCGGTCGAACATCTTTGGCAGCCCTGGCAGCCTGCGATGAGCAGGCAGCACTCGCAGGAGGAGACAGGCAGGGCATTACCCTGGCAGGCTGAGCCCCGCTCTGCGTGGGCAGCTGCCAGGGCGTGCCGGGGGCCGCTGCAGGGCAGCTCACAGCAGCACTTCTAGCAGGGGACACGGAGCAGAATGGCAGAAATGGCCCAAGTAACTTGGCCTTTCTTCTCGCTTCTCTTGCAGATGGAGAAGAAGCCGCAAGACATCAAGACACTGCCTCACCGTGGGGTGAGGCAGGCCGAGAGAATCCAGCTGCCAGCCCTGCCGCCTTTGCCAAGGCAGGCAGCGACTCAGGCAGCAGCACCCAAGCAAGTGCCTAAAGCAGAGACATCATCATCTGAAAAGGCCACTTGCAAGCTGCCCCCTCTGCAAGCAGCAGCCTCTGCTTCTTCAGGGGGAGGAAGGGCAAAGTCATTGGGAACAGAGGCCCGCAGCCAGCAAGAGCTTTTGCCACCTCTTCCCTGCATCTCTGGCAACAGGGACAGAGCAGTGAGGGCAGAGAGGCGGGAACGTGGCCCACACAGCCCTGTGGCCCCTGACGAGGACATGGGCAATGCAATACGGTCCTTTGTGTCCACCGTCATAACAAACGCTGTAGCCTGCAACGAGGGAGCCAGCAGCAAGGCAAGGCTTTCTCCCTCAAGCAGAGTTCCCAGGACCAAAGGCCCCAGAACACCACCTCTCACCACAGCAGCGGCCCAAAACTGGAAGAGTCGGCACTCGTCCAAAAGCAGCCTTGCATCCCCTGACGAAGAAATGGAAGACCGAATAAAGGCCTTTGTCTCCACTGCAATAAGAAATGGCCTTGCCTGGAACCAGGGAGCCATGAGGGAGGCAAGGCTTCCTCCCGTGGGCAGACCTCCCACGAGCAAAGGACACAGAACACCACCTCAGCCCGCAACTGGGCCCCAGAATTTAAAGAAGAGCTGGCACCCTGCCCCACACAGCCCTGCAGACTCTTGCACGGCACTGCAGGACACAGCACACTCCCGCGTGTCTGAAGTGCTGCAGAAGACGCAAAAAAGCTGGGAACACGGCCAACGATCAGCAGCACTTGGGGACCTGGCACAAACGGGGTGCAAATTGAGAGCAACAAGTTCAGCCGGGGTCCAGACAGACCTGGAGAGGACGTGGACGACTTCTCTGCCAGGGCCTGATTCCCGGGTATGCGCAGGAGCAAGGGCTTCCAGCAGAGACCCTGCAGCAGCTAGCCCAGGCCAGGGTAAGAAGAAAAAACAACAGAGAGAGAAACACATCAAACCCAGGCAGGGGACAGGCAACGAGGGGACAAGCCAAGGCCGGGGCAAGAAAGAGAGCAGTCCTGGGGGATGCGATGAAGAGGAGGTCGTCATCATCAACTCCTGGATCAACCCCAGGTTCGCCAGCCTCTTCACAGACGCACAGGACGTTCCCCAGGAAGAGGGCAGCGCAGCCAGCAGTGTGGACAGGGAGGCAGCACAAGAAGCAGAACACCCAGCAAGCGCCTCTCCTGGCTCGCTGCAAACCACGGACACTGTCCCATCAGCTGCTCCCCAGGAAGAAATTCCTGGGGAAGAGAGGCACAGCACGCCTCTCACCACAACAACACCGGCACAGAGCAGGCCAGCAAGTCCTCCAGCAGCCCCTGCTCTGGAAGATGAGGGACACAGGACGCCTCCCCTGACACGTGGGGCTCCACAGTCAAAACCATCGGCCTCTCCAAGCCCCAGCGAGCACAGCGCTGCCGTGATGGTGGAGAGCCAGGGACGTGCCCGACATGCCTGCAGTGTCTCTGATGAAGAGCTGGATGAAAGAGTTGACACCATCGTGGCTGCAGTCCTACTCCACTCTGTAGCCATCATCCAGGGAGCGGGAGCCCCAAGCAAGGCAGCAAGTGCTCCCTGGGTCACAGTGCCCAGGGTGCCTCCTCCCACACCAGAGCCTGCAGAATGTACATCCTCGGCCTCTGCCTTGGCCAGAGGCCCTGTGGGGGAGGCCAATGAAGCCCCTCTCGCTGCAGCAGCAATGCCACAAGAAGAAGGTGGAGAAGGGGCTTCTCCTTTGGCTGCAGAGCCTCTCCGGGAGGCCATCACAGATCTCCGCCCAGCAGCAGCTGACGAAGCAGGAGCAGCAGCCACTCCCTTGGTTCCTGGGCACCAGGTAAGCACAGCACACGTGGTGGGCACCAGGCATCCAGGGCGGCCCCAGGCAGAAGCAGTGCATTGGGTGTGCGTGCCGGGAGCTGCTTGCTGCTCTGCATTTCCACATGCCCCAGGCACAAGGGCTGACATCCCTTTCCTCAGCTGCCCGTGCTGTTCCTCTCCCCATGCAGGTGGCCATCGAGCAGGGAGGCCAAGCGCAGTCCTCCTCCTGCACCAAAGATACGCCAGCGGATGAGCCAGCAACGTCCCAGACACAAGCGCCGTCCCAGGATCTGTTGGCCGGGCCTGTTCAGCGCAGCGAGCAGCACCAAGCACAAGGTTGGCAGCACCACGCGCAGGGGGGCTGGCTGGTCCTGGGCCACCCCTCCCCGGGGAAAGGCCTTGGAGGGGGGGACAGGCTCGCCCAGCACCCGCTCAGGCCCTAACCTACACCTCTGTGTCCCCCACAGGCACCCTTGACCTCGCACAAGCCCCGGCGCGCCAGCCACGGCCCTCCCGCATCAGGAGGGCACTTCGCGCGCTGCGCAGGGCTTTCCGCTGCAGCTGCATCGCAGGACAGCGAGAGTAGCCGCGCCCGGCTGTGCCAGTCCCAGGAGGATGCTCGGAGCTGGCAGCTGGCCCTCAGGAAGCTTTGCAGCACCCACGGAAGCATCACTGCGAGGCACAGGACAGCGCCCCAGGAATTCAGATGCCCCACCACATCCTGCCCCCAGCCTCAGCTCAGCTGCGGCTGCTTTCTGCTCTGAATAAAAGCTCAGGCAGACTTTTGCCCCCAGTGCTCCTCTCTGTGCCATTGATCTCAGGAGAAAGAGCGGTGCAGGCCATGCCAACCCGGGGCCTCTCACAGTCAGAGAAGTACAGAATCATAGAATCTACCACTGAACCGTGTCCCTCGGCACCAGATCTACACGGCTTTCGAATGCCTCCAGGGATGGTGACTCAACTACTTCCCTGGGCAGCCTGTTCCAATGCTTCACAACCCTTTTGTTGAAGACTTTTTGCCTAAACCTAAACCTAAATCCACCTAAACCTCCCGCGGCCCCACTTTTTCCTCTTCTCCTACCGCCTGTTGCTTGGGAGATGGGACTGACCCCCACCGCACTACAACCTTCTCTGAGGTCCTTGTACACAGTGATAAGGTCTCCCCCAAGCCTCCTTTCCTCTAGGCTACATAACCCCAGCTCCCTCAGCACTCCTCACACGACTTGCTCCCTGGGCCCTTCGGCTGCTCCTTTCCCCTTCCTTGGACATGCTCCAGGACCTCCACGTCCTTCCTGCAGTGAGGGCCCCAAAACTGAACAGGGTATTCATGGCGCGACCTCACCAGAGCTGAGTACAGGGGGAGAATCAGGTTCACAAACCACGCGATGCTTACTACTACGCCATATATGTACAATTTTATTTGACCAACCTTTATTTTCCCCTTTTCCTTTTTTTTTTTTTTAATTATTTTTTTCTTCATCTCTCGTGACCAGAATGCCCGTGATTTATTTATTTATTTATTTGTTTGTTACTGATTTTTGCCCTGATTCTCCTGCTTTTCTTAGCTATCCTCCTCATTTTGCGACTGTGGGACATTCCCCTTATCTGCTTAAAATACTTCACCTGGTATGCTACTGCCATGCCCGCACAATCCCTTTTGAAAATGCAAGGTTAGTGGAATTTTCCACTGCAAGAACCTGACGTGCTGTCAGCAGCCTGCAAGCTCTCCTGACGTGCTGTCAGCAGCCTGCAAGCACACAAGGGGAGGAAGTGCTGCAACAGCCGGTGCTCACCAAGCAGCTGCCCGGCAAGGAAAAGACAGTCAGTAGGACATGTGTCAGGACACTTTTCCTGCCGATGCGGCCAAATTCACCTGAGAAAGAAACGGGAAAAGTCTCTTTCTTTCTTATGTGGGACTCCGGGAAGACAGGCAAAGTTCTCCGAGAGCTGAAAAGTGGGCTTCTTTACCTGGAGGAGCTCAAAGCAAAAAACAAGAGCAGCCCCACTTTAATAAGGAAGGAGGCACCCAGCCCAGGTACTAAGACACGCTGAAAAGCAAGAAAGGAGGAACAGTATTTAAGCATTTCTGGCACTGGAAATGCAGCGCGGGGCTTCCCCAACAAAGAAGATGGGCCCTTGTGCTTTGGCCACTGCTCATGGGAAGGTGCCAGATGGCGTCACTGCGGAGAGCCCTGGAGATGGCCTCAGTGTCTGGGAGCTTCCCAGCTCCCTCCTTTTTGCCCCCTACAGAAGAGCTGGGCTAGGAAGAGCACAGCCAACACCCTCAGCTCAGGAAAAACCCTCCACGGGGTTCCCAACTAATAGGGAAAGCCTTGAGAACCGGCTCTGGCTACATGCTGGCTTGCCCACTCGGGCCACAGGCAACGCACAAGCGCCAGGCAGTACGCATCCCGTCCTTCTGCTGGAGCTGGGCTCTTCTGTTGTGCATATTGCCAGAGCAGCAAGGGGCCCCTGGCACACCTGCACTTTGCAGGCTACCGCTGGGGCATTTCTTCTGCTTGAGGAGGCGGGCTGTGGGGTGGCAGCTGCAGGAGGGAGCAGGCTACGAGGGCAGGACGAGGCTGCAAAGCCCACCTTGTTCAGTGCGAACTGCCTGTGCACGTGGTGGGGTATTGCATCCCCAACGTGCCCAGCCCCTGGAAAGCAAATGCCCCAAATCCCCTTTCAGCCGTGCCCTGGGGACGGCAACAAGGCCGCCAATGCCATGCTGCAGGCTGGCACGGCCTGCAGATGCCAGGCTGCCAAGCCCAACGTGCGGCCGCCACGCAGGCGCCAGCTGCCAGAGGCTGCAGGAAGGTTCCAGAAGCAGCGGCAGCAGCCCGCGCAGGGGCAGCCGCGAGTGCAGGAGCCGCTCCTGGGCTCTGGGCTCAGCGGCAGACGCCTGCCCCTGCAGGGAACGAGGCCCACCCAGAGCCTGCCCAGCGGCATGGGCCTGCCCAGACATCCTGGGGGGAAGCCCTGGCCGCAACAAGTGAGCGGGGGGCATGCAGAAGCCCCTCACAAATGCTGACGAAAAACAGGGCCCTCAAAGTGAGAGGCAACCCTGCAAGACTTGGAGCAAAGAGGCACTGCCTGTCCAGACAGCACGAAGTTTCCTTCAGCACAAAGAAAAGGAAAGGCCTCTTGGCTCTAGATGCCGCCCGACACCACTGACAGCCGTGCTGCGGACAGGCCAAGGCCTCAGCCAGCTTGTGGCGCGGGGGGGCAGGCAGAACTGCCAAATGGCCGCCAGGGCTGTCAGAGGAAGGGTCAGGAGCTGCCCTGTCGGGGAGCAGCTTTTCTCTCTCTCTCTGTGCACTCAGGGAGCATCTTTCCTGTAGGGCCACCAGCGAGCTGAGCAACCCGGTACCGAGAATGAAGCTCTCTCATTTCTGGCCCGTACAAACCTCGAGCAGGCCCCGCGGAGCGTGCACAGTGATCCATTCGGGTGTGGAAAGAAAACTGTAGAACAGCCGTTTGTTTGTTTATTAAATCTTAATGAAATAAAGATAAATATTATTGAAATAAAGATAAATATTACATCTTAATGAAATGAAATAAGAAATGTGTGTAGAGCGCAATCGCGGAAGCAAGACAGAGGCAGTGCGCCGCAGCCCAGTGATTTTCCAGGCCTCCTTTCTCTTCTCCATCACTTTCCCCGCCCGCACACTCCGTACTAATTGGTAGCTGCATCAACAGAGAAAAAAACTCTCAGGTAGGATCTGAAGGTCCCCAGCTCTGCCTGCCCCCAGCCCCAGGAGCAGGGAGCACAGCCCCCTTCCACTGTGGGTACGTGACTGTCGGCTGCAGGGGAGCTTCAGGACTTTGGGTCTGCAGGGGAACGTCTGGAGGCAAGGTCCTCTCCACAGTCATTGCCTCCCCGAAGCAGCCAGGGGATGGAGAGCCAAAGCCCAGAGCTGAGCAACCCGCATGCTGGATCCCTCGGGCAGCCTGATGCAGCTCAGCTTTTCCTGGCCTTTGTGGGAGCTGGCCCACACTTACCTGGCACTTGATTTGCTGAGGGGAGCTGCCTCAGCCTTCTTCGCTGGAGGGAGAGGGATGAGGACATGCTGATGCTTCATCTCCACTGGTACCAGCTGCAGAGCGTTCTTCAGGTCCATGAGTGCCATGGAGGAAGCACACCCCCTCTGCAGCCTCTGCATTTCCGCCTGCATCTTCTGCTACAGGGGAAGCAGAAACAGGGAGCATTTTTAGAGGGGAGTGCTAATGTGGGAGCTGTCCCCATGGCAGTGGGGCAGTCGTCCCCTCAGGGTTTCCCCAGGCTCAGGGCAGTTTCCCTGCAGCCTGCTTTCTCTCAGAAAGGCAGCATGAAAGGCCCCAGCCCTCGGCCTCTGAAGCTAAGGGCAAGAACACTTCCAGGGCAGCGGGCTTTGCAGGAGCCCTCATCCTTCACGAAGGAAAACAAGGCTCAGAAAGGGCAGGTTTTTCTCTTGGAGAGAAGCTTCGTGGCAGAGCTAAGCCGCCCTCCCGCGCCAGCCAGCTCCAATGGCAATTCCTCCGTCGTACGCAGACCTTGGCAAATCTGCCAGAGATACCTTCAATAAAGGATATGGGTTTGGGTTGGTGAAGCTGGATGTGAAAACAAAATCTGCAAGTGGAGTGGAGTTCACAACATCTGGTTCTTCGAACACCGACACTGGAAAAGTTAATGGGAGCTTGGAGACCAAATACAAGTGGGCTGAGTATGGGCTGACTTTCACAGAAAAACGGAACACAGATAACACTCTGGGAACAGAAATTGCAATTGAAGATCAGATTGCCAAAGGCTTGAAGTTGACGTTTGATACAACTTTCTCACCAAATACAGGAAAGAAGAGTGGTAAAATCAAGTCAGCATATAAACGTGAATGCCTAAACCTCGGTTGTGATGTTGACTTTGACTTTGCTGGGCCTGCAATCCATGGTTCAGCTGTCTTCGGTTATGAAGGCTGGCTGGCTGGTTAGCAGATGACTTTTGATAGTGCCAAATCAAAATTGACAAGGAACAACTTCTCTGAAGTTCTTCTCAGAGTTCTTTTGTCTTGCTGGCGGCACAGGCAGCCTATTTCCTGCAGGGGAGAAGGGCATGAAGTGGTTAGAGAAACGTCAAATCTTCAGAAGCACTACCCTTGTAACAACCCTATCCCTGTTCTGCCATCCTTGTGGAGCTCACCTGATGCATTGCCAGCATCTTGCAAGCACACAAGACGAGGATTTGCTGCTATAGCTTTTGCTCAACAACCTGGTCTTGCTTTTCCAGCAGGCGGCAGCTCTCTGCGAGGACCAGTGTCTCTTTTCTGAGGTCTGGCCCAAGGAGAAGCCGTGGTGCAAGCTGTGGCAGCCACCTGCCAAATCAGAGAAGTAGAGGCCCTCATCCAGAGCCTCCCAGCAAAGAGGGGAGAGAGAGAACCAGAGATAGGGGAACCCTGTCCCTTGCTGTACCCAGAGGCCTGGAGTTCCCCGAAAAAATGGAGGCTCCTTTGCAGCTGCATTGGGTGAGTGAACAACCGTGGCCTTCTGCTCTGAGCTGCTGCAGCAGCTGCTTCCCTGGCTGTACACTGGCAGTGTGCGCAGGAGAGCAATGCCTGCAAAAACATGCTTTGTGCTGAGCATGCAACGATTAGAGAGAAACATCAAATCTCCACAAAGGCAACCCGTGAAACAGCCCGGCAATGGGCACACAGATGCAGTGGCTACTTGTCCTGCTCTCTGGTGAGCCTCGCAGGCAGGGGCTTGAGTTTGGGGCCAGGCTGCAGCACAGCGCTTGCCCTTCCCCTTGTGAGATATGTTCATCTGATTTGTGTCAGTATGGAACAATGCTAGGGCCGCATGGTATGATGAATGTGACCTTCTGTCTTACATACCCTTGTATAACCACAAGTCTAAGAAGAACAGAGTGGTTAACGTATATAATTCTCGTATCTTGCAAAGGAATGGTTTAGCAATTCGTGTCAATAGAGAGCTTGAAGGGCAATGCATTTGTAGGCTCTTCCTTGAAGTCTCTGATATCTGGGGGGTTTCAGAATAACTGCTAACTATTATGACTATTGCATGGGACACTATGCAAGTCTCTGATATCTGGCCAGGAGATTAAGGAGATGGCGAGAGCTGAAGAACAACTAAAAGACAAAGCTTGCAGGGGATGTTGCACAAGTCTCTGACATACAGCCAAGTTGGACAAAGGAGAAGGACAAGAGGGAGGAAGACTATGAGCCTTCAGCACGAGAGACCCCCCAGAGACCCCCAGAGGGACCACCGGAGACTGATACACATGCTCCAGTTGGGATTCCAGAAACTAATTATAATAACCCTGTTTTATTTAGAAGTAGTAATGAATATGTATCAGCCTAGGAGCATACAAATCAGCTGCTTGATGTAACTGGTGGGTGTCTTGGTGGAGCAGAGACTCCCAGCGCACCCATCGCTGTTTGCTTACCTCTATTCCTTTAATAAATTGTAAACTTTGATTATAGTCCTATTTTGAAGACTGAGCCATTTATTACACCCTCTTCTCCCATCCTCGAGGAGCTCTCCTGAATGAATGCTGTCAGCATTCTGCAAGCACACAAGAGGAGGATTTGCTGCTACAGCTTTTGCTCAGCAAACGGCTGCCCAGCAAGGAAAGGGCAGTGGGTGGGACATGTGTCGGGACCCCTGTGGAGCTGGCCAAGTCCCCCTGTCCAAGGAAAGCCGCTCGCTGACTCAAGGGGAAGAGCCCAGGGGCTGCCTCCTCCAGCTGCCCCCCAGCCTCACCTGGGAGAAGGCTCTTTTCCCCCAGCAGCCTGGCCCAGCTGTGCCTCCCCTGTCGCCCTGGAGTCTGGCTGGAGAGCGACTCTGGGGTGTGAGCAGCCGGCTCTTAATAGCAGGAGGCATCCCTGTCAGGAGGAAAAGAGAAGGCTAGTCAGAGCTGCTCCTTGGTGGCCACAAAACTTCTTCACACAGAGGGTGGTGAGGCACTGGAACAGCTTGCCCAGAGAAGCCGTGGATGCCCCATCCCTGGAGGTCTTCAAGACCTGTTTGGATGAGGCACTGGGCTACTTGCTCTAGTGAATGGCATCCCTGCCCATGGCAGGGGGCAGGAGGGAATAGAAGATCTTTAACATCAATTGCAACCCAAGCCATTCTGTGATTCTCTGGAAAGGTTCAAGATTCCGCTCCAGAGAGGAGAGCTGAGTGACACTCCCTGCTCCCTTCAGGGAGAAGGGTGCCAGTGAGAGCCCAGAGGCCTCACTGAACAAGGGGCTGTGGAAAGAAGGCTGTTGCAGCAGAGGACTACCAGAGCGGGAGCTCCTCCACAGTCTTCCCGGGGATGTCCACAGCTCTGCTCTTGGTCCTGCCTTCCTGCAGGGCCTCCTTCCTCTTCCCCAGCTGTTTCCTAACACGCCAACGGCCTCTTGGGGCATTTCCCAGGAGCCCTGGGCTGTGCTGGTGCAGTGAGAAACTTACAGTGAGGCGGCATTTCAACAGCTGGCCGTTGCTATTCAGGTTGTGAACAAAGTCGGAGGAAAAGTGCATTTGGACTCTGCTCTTGCGGGAGACCAGACGGCCGATGTCCTTGAAGATGAAATCAACAGCCTGCTTCTTTGCAAGGGTGTAGGAGAGAAAGAGCAGGGTCTCCTGAATGCACGCGCTGCACGGTGTTGAATGCTACGGGAAGCAGGTTGGCGTGGTCTGCACCACTCTTTCTCCTGAGATCAACGACACAGAGAGGAGCACTGGGAGCAAAACTCTGCCTGAGCTTTTATTCCCAGCAGAAGGCAGCTGCAGATGAGCTGAGGGCTGGGGGCAGGATGTGGAGGGGCATCTGAATTCCTGGGGCACTGCTGCCATCTGCAGAGACTTCGATTTCAGGTCCACAAGTGCGTTCTGTGGGGTGGCAGCTCTGGGAAAGAGCGGAGTAAGAGGGCAGCATGAGGCTGCAAAGCCCACCTTGTTCAGTGCGAACTGCCTGCGCATGAAGTGGGATACTGCATCCCAAATTCTCCCCGTCCTTGCAAATCAAATCCACAATATCCCCTTCAGCCGTGCCCTGGGGACGGCAACAAGGCCGCCAATGCCACGCTGCGGGCTGGCACGGCCCGCTCATCCCATGCTGCCAAGCCCAACGTGCGGCCGCCAAGCAGGCGCCAGCTGCCAGAGGCTGCAGGAAGGTTCCAGAAGCAGCAGCAGCAGCCCGTGCAGGGGCAGCCACGACTGCAGGAGCCGCTCCTGGGCTGTGAGCTCAGGGGCAGACGCCTGCCCCTGCAGGGGATAAGGCGTCTTTTCCCCCAGCAGCCTGGCCCAGCTGTGCCTCCTCTGTCACTCCGGGGAATCTGGCTGGAGAGAGACTCTGCCGTGAGAGCAGTTAGCTCTTGTCAGCTGTAGGCATCCCTGTAAGGAGGCAACAGGAGGGCTGGTAAGAGAAACCCTTGGCGGAGTCTTGGGCATGACGGCTCTCATGTTACCTTTTGTGTTGGAGTCTTCCCCCATCCTTGACTCTCCCTTCTTTTCAGCCTTCTTCTCGGGACTTTGAACTGGATTACCCCCTGCAGCTCTTCCAGATGGAATGTAGAGCCCAATCCTGGAAGCAAGAAGAGGACAGCAGTGTGATTCCAGGCCACCACACTCAGTAGTTGCAGTGCCCTGGCCTTGACTGCCAGCCATGGGCTGCAGACACAGCACACTCACCTGGGAAAGACGATGACTCCTCCAGACTCTGGCTGTGCGAGGACACCTCTTCGGTCCCATGTGGCCAAATCCGTTGTGCCTAACCTCTGCAGGAGAGACAGTCCTGGCTGAGACCATGGCCAGGAAGGGATGCCCTTGCCAGCAAAGGCATCAGGGCTCCTCAGGCAGAAAGCCAACGCAGCCATCGGGGTGCCAAGAGCTCGGAGAGGGAAGTTTCCAGGAGCTGCTAGCGGCCAGAAGGTGCAAGGAGTTGCTGGGATGCACTGGGACAATGCACCCCTTACCCTCCCAGTCCCTTGAAAGCAGGGGCAAGGGAGGTTAAGCTGCAAGCTAGCCCGCTCCTGCAGCACAGCAAAGTGTCAAAAGACCGTCCTGGTCTGCGTTCTGCCAGCCTGTTCCTCTTCACTTCTTTTTCCTGCTTCTTTATTGATGTAACTTCATCGTGCTGCCTTTTTTATCTTGAGGGCGGTTTCCCCTCTTATCCCCTTCTCCCCACAGCAGTTCTTTTCAAAACAACTTTTCATTGGTCAAACAACTTTGAATGTAACAACAGCAAACACACAGAAACATCCATGCCTTACCAGCTGGAGAAAAAGAGAACCAGCTGGAGAACAAGAAACCGGAGACTGCACAGAGTCTCCTGAATCACCCTGTGTTCCCTCTAAACTCTTTGATATTCCTGATGGCCTCATCGTTAAGAGTCTAATGTTGTCTCACTCATGGGGTTTTCCAACCCCATGGCCACATTCCTAAATCTCCCCCTTCTTTATTAATATCAACCATTTTCTCGACACGAATTACCACTCCATATATAACATTAGGGAGAGATTTAATAGTCAAATTAGGATTATGATTGAAGACCTGTGAAAAAGGAAGAACAGTCGCAATGAAATTATTAACAGAAAATGATGAAAAAGAAATAAATCCCACGGTATGGGTAAGGGCAGGAAATCGAGGAGGGCTTAACATAACTCCCTTAAAGATAACTGTTCAAGAAGGGAGCGGAAGAGTTAGACAACGACAGTATCCTATCTCTTGTGAAGGAAAAATGGGCCTGAAACCTATAGTGCAAACTTTAGTTAAAGATGGTCTTTTGGAGCCTTGTATGTCACCATATAACATTCCAATTTGACCAGTACGAAAGCCAGATGGTTCGTACCGATTAGTACAAGACCTGAGAAAAGTTAACAAGATAACATGAAAGCACCACCCTGTGGTTCTTAACCCTTACACCCTGATGAGTAAAATCCCTTATGAGCACAAATGGTTCAATGTTATAGATTTAAAGGATGCCTTTTGGGCATGCCCACTAGATCCTGAAAGTCGATACATTTTTGCACTTGA